GGTGGGGAGCAATAGCTCATTCTCGAGTCAAGTAAGCTCTTTGTCGAGAGGTGTAGCTCCTTCTTTTATTCATCGAACCTCGCAAGTGGGGAGCAATAGCTCATTCTTGAGTTAAGTAGGCTCCTTGTCAATATTTTATATCGGTTCGGTGAATTGATCTAGGGGCCCCTTGTTTTTTGTGTTTGTGATTGTGATTGCAATTGTGCTTGTGATTGCAATTGTGCTAATATATCCTAGTATATTGTTCTGTTCAATTATTCACCTGCGGTTGTAGGGTGTTTATAATTGCTGAATAGATCAATTAATATTCTAGGATTTATTTTATTGTTGTAGGTTTTGTCCTATTGTTGAAGGATTTAACCTAGCACTGTGGGAATATGGAGAAGGTCCCTATTAATAGTTGTACATTTGAGGAGTTGCTGGCCATGCCCGGGGTAAGCCCTGTTCTAGCGGGGCGTATTTTAGAACTCCAGGAAAAGCATGGGGGGATTACTCCTGAGCTGTTGGGAATCCTCTCCAATGTTTCCGGATGTAGGCAATCTGCAAGGCTGGTTTGACTTCCGATCGCGTTTGGATTATGGGGGAGAGTCCCCCAGAATGCCATTTAGGGCAATATTCCAAACAGGCGATTTTTGGAGTAGCACGCTCCGGGGGAGAGGATCGGGAGAATCCGAAGGAAGAAGTCTAGGGGCACAGCTTTATCCCCATGACAGTTATCCTCCCCCGGTGAGAGAGTCGGGCGGGAATTCGTGGAGATATGAAGGTGGAGAAGATAGTTCCCTACTAGGGCCGGCCCGGACTTTTTTCGCGCATAAGGTCATGTACGGCTGTTCCCGGCAGGCCAAAGTGATGGCGACCGAATCTGGCGAGACCAGAGGGCCCGAGGTGCGAAGGGTGGACCTTGCCTTGCGACTGGCGCGGGGCACTCCTGCCACCCCTTCCCCTTCCAGACTTGAGACCCGGATGTCAGAGTTGGAGGGACGATCGGATAACCGAATATCTGGTTTAGCGAAGAGCTTTGATAACCGGATGTCTAGATTGGTGAAAAGATTGGATAGCCAGATATCTGGTTTGTCTACCAGTTTGGATATCCGGATATCCGGCTTAAAGAAAAACCTGGAGAACCTTGCCAAGGCTCTAGGTGGGGCGCGAGGGATTTCATCAACCCTGTCGCGGGTCTGAGGAAGGTCGGAGGAGAAGTACCTGGCTGAGGAGCAGATGCAGTAAAGTCTGACAAGTTAGGATGCATGAGGTCCTCCCTGCTAATTTTTTTCTATTATATTGTGTTTATAATGAAATTGCCCTTTGAGGGCGTGAAGTTTTATTATGGGATGTATAATGGGGTTGCCCTTTGTAGTTGGCAAAGGGAGGAGGGTTTTGTTCAAGGAAAGGAAGGGGAAAAAGTTTTTTTCCTAGGGGCGACATTCATTGTTTTGTATAAATTTTGTATGTTGTGACATGACCTGGCTGTTACAAAAGCCGGTCTTAGCGGGTTTGAGCCACTGATTGTGAGATGAGTTCTTTAAAACGGGGGGGGGGGGGGGGGGGGAATATTGTAGTTTATGATATAGACTACAAGCACGAAGCAGACTGCATTAGCAGACTGCATTAGCAGACTACGAGTGTAGCAGAGCATAGCAGTCTACAATAGCCACCCTCACCACTAGAGGGCGCTATTCCTATTGGAAGCTTCCGTGGAAGAGAGTCAACCTGAACTCTTTCTCTCATGCAACCGACACCTCAACCAAACAGACGTACCTATACTGGAAGTTAAGGATGTCTAGCCTGATACATTCCAGTGAGTATTACATGTCTGGTTATGGTGTCTAAGTAGATGCCCAAGTCTACTTCAGTGGTTCATGCCGAGTTATCATTTTTTGCTCAACAGCTGCATTCTAATGCATTAGGCTATATGCAAAAAGTGGCGGAAGGGTATTTTCAAACTTAAATCCTATGTGATCCCTTAGGGCTAGCGAGAAATAAAGTACATCAACATATTCCTTACGACTTGAAGTAATTATCCCTCGGGGGGGGGGGGGGGGGGGTCGATTCTCAAAAGTTGGAAATCTCCCGAGTTGCCATGGAAACGCATTTAAATCGCTGTTTTGACCGAGATCTTTTTAGATATTTGAAGTGACCCCCCTTTGGAAATATGAGAATTAATCTGCCCTTTCATATGACACCTCATTTATTCAGTATCTTCAGGACCGCAACAGATTAAGGTTTGAATCTAAATTTATTTAAAAAACTTTTTAAAACACATACATGTAGACTCTATAGGGATGTGTGCATTGTCTATGGGAAGGGTTTTAGCACACAAAACCAGGTGCGCGATCAGACACCCTACTAGTGTCAAACTTTGCTTACAGCTGCATCGACATGACTGTGTACAGTCTATGTAATAATGTGTGGTGTGTATATTTGTGTATAGATCTAGGTATAACTAGACTTTAATTCGTCACTTTGACGAATTAGGTGATACGTATGCTCATGTGTAACATAATTGAAAACGCATTTTCACGATTTTATCTTTCGTTTACTACTCCCATTATGGTCTATCCATGAGTCAAGTTTCAACTGTAGGGCAGAGGGAGACAGACCAAGAGAATAAGAGGGAGGCAAGGCAAGAGAGAGAGAGAGAGAGAGAGTGGGAGAGGGTGAAAGAGAAGAGAGATAGATAGATGCAGAGACAGACCAAAAAAGGAGAGGGGCAGAACATGAGAGGAGAAGGAAAAAGAGCGAGAGGGAGAGAGAGATGCAATTGAGAACAATGCCTTCCAGATGACCATGATTAAAAGTGGTATAGCGCCCCCTTCAGGTATTCGATTGAGGATTGTTATACATGTATATGATAATTGACATGTCACCTATGATTGAATTTTTGACTATGATAACATCATGATAATGTTATATAGTCTACATAAATCTTGTGGAAACTTGTCTCAGCTACAACATACTAAAAAATCAACAAAATCCAAGCAGAAATATCGGCGCACATGCACGTGAGCTTGATTTTTTGTCAAATGCTCCATATGACCTGAAATTATGAATGAGAAATACTTTTCCGTTATGAAGATATGATCATAAGTTGATTTTCACAAAATGGCACCGGGATAATGTCACGATGACTTTGAGTCTTTGAAAAGTCACACAGTTCTAAGTTAGACTAAGATCTGTCATCATTGAAAGTTTCATGACAATGGCTTTATTCAGTCTTGAGATATCCTGCGAACAAATTTGAGGGAGAATAATAAAAATAAAATCTTGACGAAATCAAAAGGTGATACGTAGACTTCGTACGTATCACCTAATAATACCAGCCTCACAGCAAGCATGCAGTGCTAGAGGTCATTACGCATTAGCATTGACTCTCTATGCTTTGCTGGAGTGGGCTAGCCTAGTCTATTCCAGATAGCCTTAAACGGCTCCCATAGGGTCTCACGGAGAGACATATAAACAACACCTAAAATGTGTCCCAAATCACACTTTCCCGCACCCAACCAATATTGGACAGTGGCCTTGATGAATTTTGTTGAACTTTTAGACCTAGTCCTAATTACCTCCTGAATTTAAAAATTGGAGGTAAAAATAACGAAATAATTGCAAATTTCTTACCAGAACGATACGGCTTAATTCCCTTTTCACTGGAGCGTGTGACTTTACGATCCCTACACAATGGTGTTGATCTCTGACTGGCACTTTGTAATGTGCTGCTGCCGTATAATGCGCTGAACAACACTCATACAGAGCATCATACGGAAGCAGCACAATTACGGAAGTGCCAGTCCGAGGTCAACCCCATTGTGTAGCAATCGTAAAGTTAGGGTGTCTGAACGATTTTTCAATTTTCAATTTAGGATCGTTTTTCACCATTTTTGTTTGATATTTGAATTTAAAATGTAATCAGAATAATACATTTCAAATTTCAAGTCTCACTGATGTTTCTATCAAAAGATACAGCCCCTCTGAAACCCTGCAATATACATAGCAGTTTTCGACGAAAAAGACGTACACGCAGAGTTATGTTGTTTTGCCAAATTTAGCCAAACAGCTGTATCGTGTGATATGCAAGCGTACGCAAATGCGTAACTTGCAGATTGAGCCACGTTGTCTCCGCGATGAAAGTATGGATAGCCGTTCGCACACACTATACGGTATAATACGAGCAGATGTTACACAATGTAACCATGGTTTGGATTGAGCGGAGCTCACGCCTCCCTAATTTGCTGATTCAAAAAATGTGGGAAGGGTATTTTCAAACTGTTACGGCGAATGATCCCTTGGGGCTAGCGAAAAAAAAGCACCTGGATATTATCCTTACGTCTAGCCCTACTTTAGCTGCAGGGGCGCGGCTCAGGAAAGTGGCCAATTTTGGAGATTTGGTTGATTTTGGGTGAGGGCTACCAGCGTTTGCTGCATATTGTTTTGCTAACTTCATTTTGTTTAAAGTGTGGTATTTGATGTAAAATGTTATTTAAGTTGGTGCTAGAATTTCTAGCACCCTTTATGACCACAAATTGAGAGTATTGTCTTTACCTTTACTGTTGGTGAAGTGTCGTGATCCTTACCTTTTCACCATATTCTGAATCTTCTCCCCCTCTCCCCTCCTCCCCCTCCCCCTCCCTCCCCTCCCCCTTTTCCATCTCTCACTCTCCCTCTCCTTCCCCTTTCTCTTCCTTCCCCCTTTCTCTCTCACTCTCTTCTCTCTCTCTCTCTCCCCTCCCCTACTCTCCTCCCTCCCTCTCCCTTCTCTCTCACTCTCCCTCTCTATCTTGCTCTCTCTCTCTCCAGCCTCTCCCCTTCCCCCTCTCTCACTCTCCCTCTCTCTCTTACTCTCCCGCTCTTACTCTCTCTCTCTCTCTTTCTCTCTCTTTCTCCAGCTTCTCCTCCCCTTCCCCCTCTCTCACTCTCCCTCTTCTCTCTTACCCTCCCTCTCCTTCCTCCCCCTTTCTCACTCTCACTCACTCTTTTCTCTTCTTTTCTCTCTTTATCGAGTATAGGCCAAGGTGCAGAGGGAGAAACAGCTGAAGATTGCAGAAGAGAAGAAGATGAAGGTGGAGAAAGCTAAGGTCATTGAGGTCAAGGTCAACATGTGGATTGAGGAAAGAACAACTAAGGAGCAGGAATCGAGAAAAGCCAACTGGAGGCTAGAGAAGACAAAGAAACAACTTGAAGCAGAAGAGAAGAGGGGAGTCCAGGAGAAAGCAAAGGTGAGTGTTAAAGGGGAAGTCCACCCTGATATTAAAGGAAACCTAAACCCAAAGAATAAGTGTAGGTATTCTGGAAAATGAGATGTATTCCTGCCCTTTGATGTACAATATTCCTTACGAAAATGTACAAGATATATATAAATGAAGATGTTCCTGGCATGATGTGATGCCTTTCAGCATGATATGGGCGCAGCCATTTTCTTGAAAATGTGACGTACCTGTTGAAGTTGTACATGTATCATGCACCAAGTTTTAGTTGGAAAGGATTTTTAAATCAATAAAGAAACCTTTACTTTTCAATTAAAAAAAATAATAACTGAGATGATAGAAATTATAATAGGTGAAAAACAAATAATTGGGGTACAATTGTAACAAAATTCATTTATAAATACTACACTATAGCAGTTGACAAATCTATTTCATTTATGAGAAACCTTCACCCCAGAATAGAACTAACCTATTTATGCAATTTGCATTCTGGCAAGTATAGTACAAAGGATACTAGCAGGTGAATGAAATACTTCATCACCACACGCGTCTGGGAAAGAAGCATCCATAAATTTGAATACATTACTTGATAAACGACTTCGCATAGTACGTCACATTATCAAGAAAATGGCGATGCCCATGTCGTGTTGAGAAACTGTACTTTATTTTTGCTTTATTCCTCTCTCATAAAATTTATTGGGGAATCTTGTAGATGTATGGGCAATAATATAATAAATCTCTCGGAATAAGTAAAGTTATTACTTGGGGTTCGGTTTCCTTTAAGTTGCTTTTAATAAAAGCAGGAAAATGAGAGAAACAGGTCAGTGAAAGTTTGAGCAAAAACCGACTAGAAATAAGAAAGTTATATATTTTCAAAGTTGTCATCATTGAAACACAAATTGGCAACACTGTGACATATCTTGCAAACTCCTCTCCAATTTTATAAACTTTCGTTTTCTTACTGATTGGTTAGGAAAAAATATGATTCATACAGGGGTTGTATAAAAACATCTTTGAAATAATTGTATCCCCCGGCAGTATGCCGGTGATGTACTTTGGATTCAGCAGCGTTACGCCGCCGCCGCCGCGTCATATTATGTTATTCTTGTGTGCGCTCTAACGCTCTAACGTTCTATTAACATGTATGTGTATGTTACTACCTTCAAACAGATTGGCTCATTAAAATAATTTTTCCCTTAGGCAAATTTCAATTTAAAAAAGAAAGAAAATGCAAAACAAATACATAATAACTGATATGTTTTCACTGTTTTTATCCTTTTTGTGAGGGGGGGGGGGGGGGGGGGGGGAATGGGCTAATTTTAGTATAGACTGCATCAAATCACCTAAAAATAAGAAAGGATTTACACCCTATAAAAAACAACCTCTTCAAAATACAATATAATATCAAACTCTTACACATTTCTTTTGTGTACATTCTGTTTAGGATCACATTCACCAACTTCTTTTGTATATCGCTCTCACAAAGTAAAAGGCCGTCAAATGCGGTGCTTTGGCGAGTATCTCTAATGACAGTAAACAGGATAGTGTTGAGTTTCTTACCCTGTCAGAGTGGTTGGTCCAAGGCCACTTGATTTCATGCATGATGCAGGGTTTGTGACTGGGTGCTTTTAAAAGTTATACATTTTGTAGAGATGTTGTGGTCTAGTGGATAAGTCTCCAGACTGTGCACCACAAGGTACAGGGTTCAAATCCCTGCCGCAGCTCTAAGCTCCTTTAGCAAGACATTTATCTACATTTGCCACACTCCACCAAGGTGTACCTGGCCAGACTTATTCCTTGAATGCACCGATAGAGCTGCCAACCATTATGTTTTTCCCAGAAATATTCTTTTTTTTTCTCGAAAACTATGTTAGTACGTTTGTTTCTGTGTGTGTTGCATATACCGCACGTCAGTCAATTGCCCTTGAATGTTGATCACTACTTCAATAAAAAAACTTCTATAGAGAGATTTATTGAGAGTACGAATTTACAAATTTTAAAAAAAGAAAAAAAATTAAAAGGTGTAAATATTCTCAAAAAGAATAAAACGCTGATAATACCAAAAACACAACTACAAAAAACTACCTACACTGTACTTGTAAATAAAGTATACACCCATGTAGGTCCTAATATGGAAATATCAGTATAAGGACATTTCTGCATTGTAAGTGTTACACAGAGATTTACGGTACATTTTTTTTTGTGGTCAATACAAAACATTAATATGGTAAAAGACTAGTTTAATATCATCTTTTTTAACATGTGTACACTGAATGTTTGCAAGAAATGTTTGCTTTAAAATGAGTTTTAGAACGTTCAGAACCTGATTTGAATGAACAGCATTTTGACATAGAAAAATAAAAAATGGCAAAAAAAAACAGTGCAATGTTTGTACCGAGCTTGCAATGGGCAGACACCGTATAAGTCGCCATTTTGGTTGAGTTGCCAAGCAAAACAGCGTTACGTGCGTGTGTGTTCCATTCAAGTGCGAGTTTGGACAATTTATACATGAAAATATTAGTATTTTCTCGTGCTGAATGCAGCAAACATTGCTTTAAATAATGTTTAAATTAATATTAATGATGTTACAGTTGGGAAATACTTCCTGAAAATATCAAACATACCGGTAAGTGTTTTAAAAATATTTTCTCGCTCTACTTTTGAAGTTAAAGGGCAATCCAACCCTAAATAGTTGATTTGTAGGAAAGCAGAAATATAATAAAAACAGAATGTCAAAAGTTTGAAATGAATCAGACCAATAGTAAGGAAGTTATGAATGTATGAAATACATGTATGACATCACTATTAAAGTCTATACGAATCTCAAATTGGTATTTCGGTCAGTGGATTGTGACCTACATATAGGACTTGGATAACTCTCCCATTTGCTGTGTACAAAAATATCATTAATTTCTGTTTTTCTTGTAAGTACCTTCTCCCTTGGGGCACTACTCAAAATATAGTTTGGATAGCATATTTATTTATATATTTATTTATTTCTAATCTTTTGTCAGGGTAGCCCATTCACCGATAAGTAGTGGTCTTCCATGGGGCCCTGAACGAACAAGAACATATTTACATCACAAAAGCATAACGTTTATACAGAACAGTGAAAACTAGACATATAATACTTGTTTGGAACAAGTATAGGTGGGCTGGTCAACTTTAATTTGAGACAAAATAGAGCAAAAATAACGAGATACTGCTTAAAAATTCTTGAAAAACAATATCATGTAGTTTCATGACGTGAACGAAATTCACCTTCTATAGGGATAACGCAAATTATGAAGGCCTTTTGACATGAGGCCTTTAATCGAGATTTTCACTATGATGACGTCATCAAAATGAAAAATAGTTATATCTAAGCTTGTAGAGAATTGTCTTAGCTACAACATATTGAAATTTTGAAGAAAATTGATCAATATTTACAGAGATACAATCAATTTTCCATAAATATGCTGACGTCATAATATGCAAATTCGTATTTTGAGTTCCAAGGCCATTGTGATGATGTCACGATACACTTAATGGCCAAATGAGACATGGAATCATATCTCCGACTCATACTCTATCAAAATATGGAAAAATTGAGGATCCCGGTGCATTCCAAAGAGCTATAATGGATTTTGTATAGGCATGTTTTTGCCCATATATGCTATGTATTATAAGAGCTCGCGCGCACGGACATTTATCTTGAATGGACGCTCATCTTAAAATTAATGGTCATAAAGAGATGAACATGGTATCAAATTGTTTGAAAAAATATGGGAATTATCATGAAAGAAAAAAAAAATGGCGATTCTTCGTTATGTAATGGTGTTACGCACGAAAAACGCGCGCGCGCGCATCCGTGTGTGCGCAATTTTTTATAAAATGCTTAAAATGACCTGAAACGTATGCAAAAAAAAAATTTGAGACGATTTTGAGCATTTTGAAATTTTGCGCGCATACTGACACGCGGACGTACGCGCATGCGCGCGATTTTTGAACTGAAATTGACCGGACGGATATTGACCTTGATCATGATAAATATGAATGAGAAATGAACTTTGGTTATGAAGATATGATCATGAGTTGATTTTCAAAAAATTTCACAAAATGGCGCCAAGATGACGTCATCAGTCAAGGTCAAGGTCGAAAAATTTGCTGTGTTTTGTGCATATGCCTATACATATGTGTGCCAAATTTTAAGATATTTGATTGAGCCATTTTCAAATTATCTAGCACACAAAAAAGTGGGTCGAAATTAGAAAAATAAATAAATAATAATAATAAATAATAAATAAAGGCGATTTTAACAAAAATATAAGGTGGTCTGTATTAGATACAGCCCACCTGATAAAATTTGATAGTACATTTAGAAAGATATGATACAGCAATGATAGAGGTGGCACAAAGGAATACTCGTTTAAAAAAGAAACATTTTTTTATTGACCTAGTTCAGCTGTAATGCCAATAGGAAAATATTGATTAAGTCGCAATTATGTGAATAAATCATGTTAATATTACAGAACATGCATGTAGTGTATGTTCGGCTGAGCCATTAAAAAATGAATTGACAGAAGAAGCTGTTCTCATCGTATTATCTATTATTCCATTTAAATATAGAGGAAACAATTGGGCTACACTTATAGCAATCAGTGTGAAATCTAGGCACTCTTAAACATCCAGTCTATTTGCCTTGTATGATGCTCATGTACATCATTAGGATAGATTAAGCCTACCTGAAGGTAAGAAGGTGCTAAGTTATGAACGCATTTATATATCATCATTATGCGACTTAACTCCTAAAATAAAAAAATCCTCTATATGGGCATACCTTGAACCATAATGCATGGCCCTACAGAGGAATTTTTCCTGTTGGAGACCGGGGGAAAATGCAATGAATTATTGATAATTTATTGCATTTTCTTTGTTTTTTTTGTATTTGTGAGGGCGGTGACGTACCCTAGCCCCCGCTACATACAGTCATGATTAAGTGGCTAAGCAATGGCCTCGTTACTGTGAGGTCC